CCGAGGCAAAAAGATCTGCTGCACTGGGGGGTGAGGACGTGGCTCTGGGAGGAGGGGGGAGGTCTACTAGAGGTGTGGCCATGCAAAGCAGCCATGTGAAGAGGCTCTTGGGAGGTGCCGCGATAGCATTAGAGAGACTTTCTTCGTAAATATGTTGTTGGTCATAGCTTAATGATGTGTGCATTTGTTAACCATGTCATCCTGCGCTGGGCTGTGGGTCAATGTGGTGACAGTGTCTGCCGTAAAGGCTGTTCTCCATTGCTGCCTGTTCAATAAAAGAGCATTCACCTTTAAAGGTTCTTTATGATTGGTTTGTCAGTTTGAATGTAACCAGTCAGGTCACTGATTCTTTGCTGAAAACACGCCCTGCGATCCATGTTCTAATTATCGAATGCATTACTTTGCTATTCATTTTGTTATAGGCAGCAGGAACGGCAGGAACGATTTGAGCATCTATTAAGACTCAGATGTTAAAAGAGGCAGATCACGTGAACTGGCCACAACTTCAGTGGGGAGAAAAATGGGTCAAGATCCAAAAAACGAAGACTACAGGCAATCAAATGTGTTTTCTTTTACTCCAGACATTACATTAGCACCTGGTACAGTACAGCAGTTCCACACTATGAACTGTTCAGCTTTCACTCATGTAAATGAAGCCACTCAGTGAGACGGCTCTGCTCTGCTGCGGTGTGTGTGTGTGTGTGTGTGTGTGTGTGTTCATGTCCCGTCCTGCTGTACGCCACAATGAATATAGATGCAACCTTCTCCTGCCAGAATTATGACATACCTTTCACATTCACACACTTACAACTTCGTTTAAAGGGTCCGTATCATGAAAAACTGGATTTAATTCACTTCTTTGCAAAGAGTTCTATAAATCCACCACAACTTATGTGGAAACTAAGCTGCAAAATTCATTGTCATTCATTGTTTCTGTGAAAAATCAGCACATTTACATATATTCGCTTATTCAGTCTACAGCAGTTTAGCCACACTCACTCATGCAAAAGTTACAAGGAGGGTTTAACACATTTTATACAGAGAACACAACTGAATATTACATATAGTTTAACCCCCTAAAATCCCTGCCTTTATACATACTAAAGCTTATTATTCAGCAACTACAGGGACTTCGATACAAACTGGCGGAGCTATTCTTAGGTCACAGACGTGTAATAAATATAGTTTAACATATTGGAAAAACTTAAAATGTCCAATGTGCTATAACTTATGCACGGGCCTTTCATTGCTTTCACTTTGTCATTAAATTCAGCAAATAAACAGCAACTGCGCATTAAATGTGTAGAAGTGTGTTCTCTGCAGAGAACGTGTTCACTTATTTTTACTTAGAACATCAATACATTGATGTCATTTGCCCAGGGGCGTCCAAACATCTGCATATCGGGCTTAATGGGCAATTCTACAAATTTTTTAAAGGGAATTTTCTTCATAATTCCAGTGGTTGAGATGTAATCAGAGTGATTCAGAGTGGTTTGGTGTGAAATGGTTCAGATGTCTTTACAGTGGTGGTGATAGGATCCAGGGGTCGCCATGACTACAACACAAATATAGACATTTTATTTACCATCCAAAACCACCAGTGAACCTACACGAGTCTTCTGAGTTTTCTGTGGAATATTGATGATAGTAAGATAAGATAGTAAGTGATAAACGTGGAAAAACATGTTTTCTTTGGGGGCCATTTTGCCTCACAGCGCCCTGCATGTATCCCTCCACCATGAATATATTTTTAAAAACCTGTTTCAGACCAACATCTTATCTAGAACTATCCTAAAACAGCGTCTCAGTCATCAGGCAGTGAATTCATAACCATTTCCTGTAGTAACTTTCTGTGAGGGAGCTTTTAGAGGTGGACGTCTGGTTCCTATCACCACCACTGTGAACAGTTCTGACTCAGTAAGTTTATCTAGAACAGAGCACTTCACACCAAACCACTCTGAACCGCTCTGTTTACATCTTAACCACTTAATTATGAGTGAAATTCCTCATTTAAAGGTACATGAACAAACAGCCTGTTTAATTGTAAGGTACACATATGTTAGTAAATGATCATGTAAATGCATTAGGACTGTTTTGGGTATATAAAACGACCCAAACCCTTTCAAAGACAAGAGAAACGTAGAATACGGGCCGGTTAACACGGCTGGCCTTAGTAAAGTACTGTCCATTCTGGACAGTTTTGGGCTGCAGGAAGACGTGTTAAACACACGCACGTCTGAAGGCCTTGACGAAGTCTCCTTTCACGCTCTCTTGCGTCAGATCTCCTTTCACACGCTGCCAGCCCGCACTGAATGAAGAGAAGCAAATGTCAACAGTGTACAGCTCATTTAAAATGCATTCCTCTCATGCCAGCCACCACTAGTAAAGCCCTTAGCAGAAACTGCAGCGTTACTGAATCACACTGCTGTGTTTTACTCCAACACGCTGAAATACGGCGAGACTGAGGCCGCCTTTATGCTTCAGATGTGGCGTACAAAAGGAAGCTGTTAGCATAAGCAATGAATACAACACATTTTCCTGTTTTTTAACAAAAGAAGCCCTCGGGGGCAGAGCTTTGTTTCGCTTCACCATGTAGATTTGCTTACACAAATACATTAAGACTTAATATGCTTCATTTACATGTAACAGCCTTGAGTTCTGCACTTCTTTTCATCCAGCAGTTGAGAAATGTGCTAACTCTGATTTCTTTCAGACAGTGGTGCTGATAGGAACCAGGGGTCGCCATGACTACAACACTAATATAGACATTTTATTTACTATCCAGAACCACCAGTGAACCTACACGAGTCTTCTGAGTTTATATGGAATGTTGATGATGGAAAATAGTGGAAAATCTGAAATAATAAGTTTTCTTTGGGGACTATTTTGCCTCATAACACACTACATATATCTCTCCGCTGTGAATGCATTTAAAAAATGAAGACTGAAACTATTATATAACAGTGTCTCGGTAATCAGGCAGTGAATTCATAACCATCTCCTGTAGTAACTTTCTGTGAGGAGCTTTTAGAGGTGGACGTCTGGTTCCTATCACCACCACTGTGAACAGTTCTGACAGGTTTTGACTCTGCAACTTTCACTAGAAAGGAGAAATAATAATTACGCAGAAGTTTTGAACAACTGATGGAATTCCCCTTTAAGAACAGACAAAAACATGGCAAAAATATAAAGGACGGTTTGACTTTCTACCAAAACAAGACACAACAATAACTACATCAAACTCAAATCTTCTACGTCTTCTACTGTGCTGATGTGTCAGATTGAAAGTTTAGAATCTGCACTTTTCACATAGTTTCTCTGCTTGTTTTAATGAGCCATGAGTGAGAAATAATTGGTATGTAATACAACATGCTTTCATTACCCCCGATGAAAAGTGTGACTGCTAAGGTTCATCTTAAGACTTATTATTCAGTAACTATGATGGAACTAATGTGTATGTTGTGTAATTAGAAGAAGGATGAACTGAAAAGCAGACACACATACAGAGTCTTAGAGTTTAAGTGGTTACAGTTTGGGGGCAGAAATTCACAGACAAATGTATTATTGATTGTCTAGTTTCAACACACCTGGTTCCAATATTCAGATACTGCTGAAGGCCTTGGCCAACTGGGTCAGATGTGTTAGATTACAGTGGAAACTAAACTCTCCAGGGTGGTAGATCTTCAGGATCGGACCTGTGGACTAAAGGATCTGCCAAGACTGTGCCATACAGTCGGTTACCATGTACACCCTTACAAAAAAGTATACTTAAATATACTTTCATTTTAGAATGTTAAACTTGAGTAAAGTTCAAGTATTTTTCATGTAGTAAGTATACTAATATCAATGTACTGTTTGTATTCTTGTATAATTGTACTATTTCAGTACTGCTTGGGACTAAATTGGCCCACTTTTCAGTTTAAAAATTATACATTGAAGTATAACATAAGTAAAATTATATATCCAAATTTCGTTTTTCAGTTTTGACATAGTTTGAAAATGCCTGTTGCCCTTTACATTGTGTGTAAATTTCATGAAGAATGGTATATCTAATATATCATCGCTGTCCAACAAAAATCTCCAAAATAGTAACTTTACAGGAGAGGGCAAAAACGTTCTTTACTTTCAGTGTAAGTTAATGGAAAATGTGTTTATTCTAAGCAATTTTAGACCACTTCTATTGGTCCAATCATCATTAAATTTTCACACAATGTAAAGGACGGCTGCTGAGCTCAAATGATGCAGAAAAGTAAAAATCGCAAAAAATGGAGATACATGTTTTTCATTGGACAGTGATGATATAGAAGTATATCATATATATAAGTACATCTTAAGTACATCTCAATCAAAAGATTAAGTACAAGTATAGGCTGAATATACTTACACTTTTCTGTATACTTGTAAGTATAAGCCAAGTATACTTGAGTATATTTTTGTTTAGTATATCTCTGATAAGCATGAAGAGAACATGCAAACTCCACTCAGAGATGACTCTGGTTACCCGTCCGGGGAATCGAACCCAGACCCTTCTTGCTGTGAGGCGACAGTACTACTCAGTGTGTCATCGTACTGCCCTGTTACTTTATACACTGTTACTTTATACGTTTTACGTATACTTTTCTTAAGTACATCTCAATCAAAAGATTAAGTACAAGTGCAGGCTGAATACAGTAAGTATAAGCCAAGTATAATTTTGTTTAGTATATCTCTGATAAGTACATAAAAGTATACTGAAAGCATACTCACTTATTTTTTAGTTTTAAGGAAGTACACTAACAGCACACTTGAATAAACTTCTTTTTTTGTAATGCTCCCACACTTCTGCACTTCCTTTTCTTCCAAAGCTGATGGGGAGCTGCTGTAGCAACTGCCAGCTGGCTCCTCAAGTGTTGTTCTTTTCTAGGCACAGTATACAACATATAGAGGATCAGGTCGAAAAATGCTGCTTTAAACAGTCCTTCCAGGGCTGGTTGTTAAAATAATGAACACACAGACAAAAAGAAACTTTCTGATCAGACTTTATACAGGAAAACTGCTGCAGATGCATTCTGAGAAAATAATGAGGTCAGTGTTCTATACCTGCTCTAGAGGCTTTGTGGTTTTCCTGCTCAACTATAGTGGAGCTGCCAAATGGGGGTTTCTAATAAAGTGGACGGTGAGTGGACGTTACATGTTCCCAGCACATTTTTGTGTTTTTCCTTCTCTAATACACCCAACACAACTTATGAAGAGCTTAATAATCACCTGGTTATCTGAGAGAGGTGAGGTCTATTACTGCAGGGAGACACTAAAATGTGAACTGGTGATACGGCTTTCAGTATATCGTCACTGTCGTATCAGTTTTTCCCCCTTTTTCTGAGAGCCTTGTAAAATCCCAGCCCCCTTTACATTGAGTGAACCTGTCGTGATGAATGGGCCAATAGAAATGACCCGAAATGACTAATCTAACAAATCTAAATACATTAACATGAAAGTTCATTAAAGTTCTTCAACAAAGATCCAGTTCAAAGATACAGTTCAGTTTCATCAGCAGCGATATTAATAACTCACTGATGTGACACGATTAAGAACAGCAGTACTTTGACAAAAAACAGACATTCTTCACGTTTTGTGTAGAACTAAGCTCATCTGAAACTGCAGCCGCTTTCAGACATGCTCTTTTACGCAGTGGTTAAACAGGAAGAGTCTAAATGTGAACATAAACCACAGTCGAAATCCCGGTAAGACTGATGCAGCAATGTACCTATACAATTCCCAGGAAAGCACCCGGAGGCCCCAAGCATGGACAGAAGCTGAAACATCACCCGGAAAGCTGAGTAATGTAGCAGCTTCTGTTGTTTTAAAGTCGAGTTTTCAGTTTTCATGAGTGGAAAACGTCACCAGAGTGTATTTGTATGATTCTAGTGGTGAATCACTCAATGCACGAAGGGCTGCTACTGCAAAAACAATGCAAGGTGGTTGCAAAGGTGTTGCTAGTTGGTTTCTATGCTATTGCAGATGGTGCTATGGTGTTGGAAGGTGCTTGCTATGTTATTACAACTGGTTGCTAGGTAGTTGCTAGATGGTTGTTAGTTAGTTGCTAGGTTGTTGGTAGCTATGGTATTCCAGGTGGTTGCTAAAGTGTTGCAAGGCGGTTGCTATGATATTACAACTGGTTGCTGGGTAGCTGCTAGATGGTTGTTAGTTGGTTGCTAGGTTGTTCCTAGGGTACTGCTTGGTAGCTATGGTATTCCAGGTGGTTGCTAGTGTGTTGCTAAGTGATTGATATGGTATTCCAGGTGGTTGCTAGGGTGTTGGATGGTGCTTGCTATGATATTACAACTGGTTGCTAGGTAGTTGCTAGATGGTTGTTAGTTAGTTGCTAGGTTGTTCCTAGGGTACTACTTGGTAGCTATGGTATTCCAGGTGGTTGCTAGTGTGTTGCTAAGTGATTGATATGGTATTCCAGGTGGTTGCTAGGGTGTTGGAAGGTGCTTGCTATGATATTACAGCTGGTTGCTGGGTAGTTGCTAGATGGTTGTTAGTTGGTTGCTATTGTTGTTCCTAGGGTACTGCTTGGTAGCTATGGTATTCCAGGTGGTTGCTAGGGTGTTGCTAAGTGGTTGATATGGTATTCCAGGTGGCTGCTATTTTATTACAGCTGGTTGCTAGAGTATTTCTAGGTGGTTACTACATTATTTTCTCAAGGTTTCTAGGGGATTGCTAGGTGGTTGCTGTGGCTTTCCAAGTGGTTGCTATGATATCACAATATTTAGTTTTTCTGAGGAAGTGGCAAAAATCTGCCCTTCATGCACGGTGCTATTGCTCAAAAACAGTACAGCCTAGCTGACAAAGCAGGACTTTTCTGTTGTGTTTTTGTTTCTTAGAGTCAATTCTTCACTTTCTAGAGTCAATTCTTCACAAAAGAAAAAGGTCAGTGGGGTGTAAACTACTGTTCAAAGTCTGAAATCACTTGTGTTAATAACTGCTTCAATAATATCAATTATACAGTGTAGATCTAAATGTTATAAACTAGACATCAAAATGTAAACTGTAATAATATATTTACAGTACTTACTTGTCACTGAATTACTACCTAATTACTATTAGAATAATATTAGAACCATTTTATACTCTTGTCTGCAACCAAACTGGCTTTATATTATTGAAAACAGTGACTGGAAACCTTTGAACAGTATGATTAAGAAATGAGCCTGTCAGCCATTCATGCTGAGGATGTCCTATGTTGTATAACAGGACTTCAAAGGCAAAAAATAATGTGTGCATCCTGATAAAATCCTGGTTAAAGTGGCTGTAGGTCTGAATGAAGTGTGCCAGTAATGTTCTCGGTCTTGAGCGTGGAAGCACTTTGTGATTGGACGAGACAGCCACAGCATGCAACTGAATATTATGATTGGTTAGAGGGCTTATTTGCATATTGTGGCTTTCTGTATATCAGGCCAATAGCGATACAAATGTACAAATAAAATGTGCGTCCCTAATCTACGGTCAGTTCTAGTCCAGGCTCAGAATGTGAACTGTGCTGTGATTCCTCAGCAGGTCCAGCACCAGAATTGGGATCTATTAGCCACGATGTTTCAGTATGGTTTCGACGGCAGCGGCCAGGTTGTCCACGTATCCATCGGCGGTCACTGTAGGGTGTCTCTCATCGCTCGGCCTGCAAACACACACCAAAAAGGCTGTGGTGAGAAAGTGGACTCTTTACATTCTTATGCCATTAAGTTTCCAAGGCTCTGATTTATATCACCTGCCTTCAGTTCATACTGAACAGAAGCAGCTCTTCTTTTAATTACACCACTGTGCAAAAAGTGCTGTAAGCATGAGAAAATTATCTGTAAAGTATTTTTTTTGGGCAGATAAAATTTATTTGTTCCAAAAATCACCAACATCAGAATAAATATACATAAACAACAACACACATATTAATCCCATTACTGAAAGTGAATTATGTTTCGCTTTACATTTATTTTAAGTGTTTTTACTGGCAAATAATACAGATAAACATTTTAGAACAGTCTAGGTTTCTAAGAAGATATTTTATTATAATCTGATGTTTGATGAAAAGTTACTGCTGTGTGAGAAGTTACCATTTTTCCACATCAAAGCAAACAGAAACAAGGCCACATAGTGTCACTGATGTGAAGCGCCACTCTTATGAGAAACCAAGTTAGTTGAGTGCTAGTAGCGCCCTCTTGTGGAGAATCACCAGCCTGTTAAATGTGAGTGAATGAGTTACAAGTCAGATCCATGAGGTGCTTTAAATCTAGAAAGCAAGACTCAAACCTGTCGATATGGAATTTAAATTAGATGTAAGTATTCATTAAATTCATTATTTAACTAACTACGCAATTAATTCTAGAATTATTTAGTTACATTTCTAAACTTATGTAATTTAAACAGCAACAACTCTGCGCCTCTAAGGTTTAATCTGTGAATTGAGTACTTGTTTAGAAAAAAAACCTGATACAAACAGGTATTAAAGTTATAATAGCCCAATATATAATACCCAGTGCAGCTACACAACGCTGTTCCGTTTGACTCCGTTTGAGTAGTTAAATGTCCAAGAGCTGGACGTCATTTAAGGGAAGTGTGTGTTTTTGTGTGTGTGTCTGAAGGGAAAGCAGGTCTGAGCGTGCGTCCGTCATCTGAATGGTCCAAACACACGCAGAGATCAGTAAACAGGAGGGTGGAGCTGGTGATGCTATCACACACACACATTAGTGAGTGTGATTATGAAGAGGGCTGTGATTCCAGGCTGATTACTTCGAGGAAAAATCTTACACAGCAGAACAGCTTCTACAGAGGGTCAGAGAGAAAAAGACGAAAAGGATATACTGAAAAGGGCATTTCATGAAGAAAATGCAGAGAGTGCACTGTGAACGCAATCCCCCAGTATTGCCAGATCGTTGCTATGGTGTTCCAGTTGGTTGCCAGGGGATTGCTAGACAGCTGCTGTGGTTTTCCACGTGTTGCCAGTTGTTTTTTATGCTATTGCAGACAGTTGCTAGGGTGTTGGTAGGTGGTTGCTGTGGTTTCTCAGGCAGCTGCTAGGTGTTTGATATGGTGTCCCAGGTGGTTGCATGTGTGTTGCTAACCTGTTGGTATGGTATTTTAGGTGGTTGCTAGGGTGTTACTAGATGGTTGCTATGGTGTTCCAGTTGGTTGCCAGGGGATTGTGAGACAGTTGCTATGGCATTCCAGATGCTGCTAGTTGTTTTTTATGCTATTGCAGTCAGTTGCTAGGGTGTTGGTAGGTGGTTACTGTGGTTTCTCAGGCAGCTGTTTAATGGTTGATATGGTGGTCCAGGTGGTTGCTAGGGTGTTGCTATGGTAACCTAGGTGGTTGCAAGGGTGTTGCCAAGCAGTTGATATAGTATTCCATTTCGTTGCTAGATGGTTGCTATGGTGTTCCTATGTAGTTTTTATGGTATTCCAGCTAGTTGTTCCTATAGTATTGCTAGGTAGAGGCTATGGCATTCCAGGTGGTTGCTAGGGTGTTGGGTGGAACCCAAATACAATCTGACAAAATTCGGCTAAAAGCTGACCCGATCTGACCCATGGCACTGTCCAAATCCGAGCCCAGCTCAAAAAAAATGCTGCCAGAAACTGACTTAAATCTGACACATCCATCCAGAGGCCGAATAAAAATTCCCAAATTATATCTTAGCAACAATGTTAAGTCATTGCTGCTCAGGTGGGTCACACCAGTTACTGAAAGCAAAGGTTCACATACTTTTGCAAACAAAGACATTTCATGTTGGACCACTTTGTTCAATCAATGAATGGAAAACTATATACTTGTTTGTGTTACTTGTTTTACTGTTTTTTCTTTATTGTTACGATCTGACCAAATTTATGTAGAAATTCAAAGAATTGTTAAGGGTTCACAAACTTTACCGCACCATAGTAAAACAATATCGTCACTGTTGGGAAAAAAAAACCTGTATTTCCATTTTTTTGACCAAACTTGAAAGTAGCAGTAGCTCTTTACACTGTGTGAAAAATTCATGATAAATGGATCAAAAGATCTACTTAAAAATGAAATGTTTACATTAACTTACATTCAAAGCTCAGAATGTTTTTCCTTCTCTGGTAAAGTTACCATTCTTGGAGATACGAGGTATATATTTAGATGACATATTTCATTTTCATGGTAGACAGAAGAAGAGCGTCAGTGTGGTGCACAGAGGGATATGAAAGCTTTATAAATAAATAGAGAGAGAGAGAGGAGGAGGAAGAGAGACAGGATGTGTACGAGCTGAGTCCTGAGAAAGAACCGCTGTACAGTAAACCAGTGTGTTTAATGGTGTGTGAAGCGTGGAGTGTTTTTGCTCCTTGAGTGTCGCACAAAGCCATCCTACCGTGTTTAGTGTGCACGCAACAGGTTCAGATAACAAAGACATTCCTCCTGTGTATGTGGGTGAGTCATATAAAGGTGTTTGTTTTCCTTCTATTGTTTAGGCTGCTGACATCAAGGTGTCCTGCTTGTGCCAAATAATGAAGAGTGGTCAGTCTGCTTTCCCTCTCCAACACTGTCTCAACATCACCGTCCACTTAACGTCGTCCTTAAAGAGCCCATACCCTACATTTCTGTTTTATTTCCTTTTTATGTCCACTTTTGAGTGTTTTTATGTATCAGTAATAGTCAGAATTCATTTTCTTTATTAATTAAACAGGCTGTTTTGGTTACTGTGCTTTTAAAAATAATGCAACCTGTTGAATTCATACTCCACATACTCCCTCCCACTTCCTCTTCACTCCTTACCAGTCTAGAAGAAATGAGTTCAGCATCAAACATCATCCCTTTACTCGTCAAGAGCTCCAGTCTTCAGCGGTGAAAAGCAACACCAATGCTAACTTGTTTTGCTTCTATTTATGTCACTTCTTTTCTTTGTGGTTTCTTCAGAGAATTTGTCGAGAGCAGAATAAGTCTTCTGGTGTTTCTCAAACACTAGAGGGCGCTTCTGAGCGAGTCCAGATTGAATGGGTTAAGATGGGGCATTTGAGCAAAATTATACCTTATAAATGCTTAAGCATTTTTAGTATAAAAGATTACATTCATTTCCAGAACAAAGAACAACATAAAACATTTTAACACCCATTTAATATTTTTAAGAGCTTTTAAACTCGAGTTATACAAGATTAAATTGGCACCTCGTGTACGAAAAGGGCAAAAGGGCGACAAACACCCTATTAATATCCTTTATTTCAAGTACAGACAATGAATTTCGGATTCAAGATGCTACTGTTTTCAGCTATGTGATGTAATGTAGTCCATGTTTATAGATAACAGTGTTGATTTTTATTAATGCAGACCATTGTAACAGAACCCAACAGAACCCAAACAAAACAATTTTTTTTCAGATTTACCTCTATATTACCAACACCCACCCAGCCACCCAAATATGGTCATATCATAGCAATCACCTGGAAAACTATTGCAACCACCTAGCAACTCCCTAGCAACCATGACAAATAATGTAGTAACCACCGAACAATAACCTAGCAAACACAAGAGATACCATAGCAACCACCCAGCAACATTCTAACAACCACCTGAAATACCAAAACCACCACCAAGGAATACCGTATGGACAACCTAGCAATGACCTACAGCTGCCCAGTGATGCTCTAGCAACCCACTGTAATACCATATCAACCACACAGCAAAACCCTAGCAACCATGCAAGATTTCACATCAACTGCCTGAACACACTCTAACAACCATCTGGAACACCACATCAATCACCCTAGCAACCACCGAAGATACCACAGCAACTGCCTAGATCAGGGGTCGGCAACATGCAGCTCTTTTACTGTCCCTGTTGTGGCTCCACAGCTGAATCAGATTAGTAGGTAAAAATAAAATAATCCTCCTTTACAGTAAAATAAAGCTCTGCTGATCGTTCAACACAGTTTAACAATAAATGGTCTTAAACTCTGGAGTTAATGTAGAACTGATAATTCACCCTTTAACCCTGAAGATCAGCGCAGACTGCTGGTCACCATAGCAACACAGACAACAGTCTCGCCTAGCTAGTAGCTAACGAAACGGCAAAGAGAGAGATTTAAGATGAACATCGATAATTTGGAGATGAATGGACTGATTAGTGTTTATAATCACTCCAGCTGGTTTCCTGATACGTTTAATCTGCAATGAGAAACTGACGAACACTAAAAATTCTCAAAGATGAAGTCGCTTCTCATTCGAATTGTCCCGTTCCACCTTAAATGGTGCAGCAGTTGCATTCTGGCTCCCCAGGCACCATTTAAGGTAGAACAGGAAAACTCAAACAAGAAGCTGGTGAATGAGAAGCGACTTCAGCCTCACAGAAAAAAAGTCAAGAGACATTTTACAAGAAACTGTTCTACTTTTAAGGAAAAGTTTCCTGCTGGAGATGTGAGAAAAGCAGCTATAGCTGAGCTAAAGATTAAAGCAGAGCAAAGTAAATCTGCGTTTTCATTTATATTATATTTTTAGTCTATGCTAGTAAATCAGCACATACTGAGGCATGTTTACAGCTAAGATGGTAAAATGGACATAAAATGTTGTGGCTCCCAAGGTGGTTTGATTTTTGTTGGTGGCTCTTCTTAACCTCACCTGCATGACTTGGTTTACATCTCAGTGACTGAATTATGCAGAAAAATTGAAAAACT